TGCACAAAGCTTGGGCATTTTTTATTTATTACTAGCGGTAAATAACTGTTTGTAAGCTAACTGTGATTTTACCGCCTGTTTATCAAGATCACAAGATCTCGCGAGAACTTGTTTTCTGAGACGGACAGGGCTCAAACAAAGTTAATTTTCTCTTGATCTGTGCGGATGAAAAATGCAGCTTTAATGTCAGAATGTTGGTAAGATGTGTGGCTTGTGGAAAACGAACCCAATATTTACTTTAGTGACTATAGGGCGAAAGAATTGACCATAAATTGTGATCACGTTCATTTTCCTCATTGACGATAATATATTCAGAGCTGCCTCAAGTCTCCTACGGGGGCGTGGTGCTGACGTCACTGAATCAGGAAGTGAGCTGAGTGGGGTATCTCGCTTTATCCAATATCTCTGGTCATACTAAGCAAGTGACTATGACATAACAAATTTATGCACATCTTTCAAATTTTATGAGACTATTTTCATAGTCTTTCATAAAAATGTAGAAAGAAAACATCAAACTGTCTGCCAATAAATTGCACATGAAGCCACATTTTATTTGAAATATCTCTATACACTCTAAAAAATAATTCAGCTGCTTAGTAAATATCACAATAATTAAAAGCTATAATATCTTAATAAAATCTCTAAATATCACTTAAGTGGTTGTTTGAGTTGGACATACCAAAATAAATGCCTAAAAATCCAACAGTCACTTTTTTCTTAAATGTAAATGTATTGTCTAAATTTATTTCACAGAAAGAAATTAGTATTTGACTAACAAATTACATTTATCAGATATCCTTAATATTTTTTATATACTTTAATCAAAATACTTGCCGATGGAGTAATTGTACTGATCAGTTTCAAGAACTACAATTATTACTCATTCCAAATCAGTATTCTTCATCTCTAACAACAATTTAAGAAATTGAGTAAGTTACGCAACTAACGTTATAACGTGGACGCCATTAACAGCCGCACAAAGCGAACATGCTCATGGGAAAGCTGCTTCTCCGTCTGCTCAATGTCTGAAAACAAGCAAGAGGCCATTAACGGAATGAGTCATTTTTTCATCCTGGTAAGTAGCCAGCTTTCAAAAATTAAGCAGCGGTCAAACATTGAATCTGTCTCCGTTTATACGCAACTTTATACGGTGTAACATTTTGAATACTGTCGCAGCTGTGCTGTCGTAACGTTACGGGGTTTACTATTCAAACAAGTAACGGACAGCGGCGACAGAGAAGCTAGCTAGAGACTGCTACACCTGATAGAGAAGTCTGTCTCAGCTTATACATGTTCTTCTTTTCATTCGACTAACGTGTTGTGTTAAACGGTTGCGGTAAGTGTGTTTTTCTCTGTCTCCTTTTGCTGTTGTTAATGGCCGCGCTTCTCTGTCTCCTCCTCGGTGTGTTTGACCACCGCAGAGCAGTCAGGCTGAAGCCACGTTTCCACTTGGCTTTGACCGCATTTCTTATTGTTTCAGCCACACTTCGCATGTTGGGTCACTTAGCGAACTGTCAGTGTTTGTGTTCGTAACTGCTTATCTTAGTTTGTACTGAATCATATAGTTTGGCAAATTAATGCAAACTTAACTACTGTTGAACAGCCTCCCTCTGTACCTGCGGCACCTGCAGCAGAGGGAGGGCAGGAGGATGTCTGTTTTCTGCACTCTTTCTAAACCTTACACAGTTTTTTGATATCAGAAATATTATCGAGTTTACTGACTCAGATATTGAGTTTTTATTGTGATTTTGTTGTTAAAAACTTTGCTGTTGCTGCACAAGAGATGATATTTGGTTACCGGTATATTTAAAATATAAATCTGCTCCAGTCCTGCTCTAAATTTAAATAATAAAAACTTAAAGAAAAAAAATCATATTAAGAAATAAGAGTTATGCTGAAGAACAAGGGCACTAAGAGTTTGGATGAGAATAAAATCCTAATAATACCCACCTTTTAGTTTGGAGGGATGAGAAAGTCATGGTTCAAATCCCTTCACTATATGCCTCATTTATCCAGTGTTATATTTTGGGGTTTCAGAATTTCTATTTCACAGAACTTTTTAATTATTAATCTGCTTGTTCTATTAAGGCATTTTCTATTTCATAATTTGGATAAGTTGGACAGTCCTGTCCAGTCATGTTTTTGTTATATTTTGGGGGGAACACTTGATAATGGCTAGAGCAAGTAAAGTTGATTTTTTTTTTCTCAAAAATGTTAAATATTTTCAATATCTGTTTCACAGCACCATGACCGCTAATGGAGAGGAGGTGAACAAAGACAATGAAACAGAGAAGGTAAATGTCATACTTTAATTGTTCCAGGAGGATAAAATGTGTAAACACTAAAAAAAGGATTCTAAGATATTTATTTGGTTTAATACAGTTTCAGGAAAGCAGTGAATGACATGAGTAGCACCTGGATTTTGGCCATGTTTGATTGCATTGGACAGGGGAGCAGTTACAAAAGTCTTGGACGTAATACAAACTTTTACTAATTTCATATGTCTGATATATCTGAGCTGTCCCTTTCCACTAGTCTGTTAGTTCCCCATGGTAACACTATTTATCATCCTTTTTTAGGTGGCAGCTTATGGGATGGCAATGTAAACTCTGCACATTTGTGGATTCGTCAAAAGGAGTACTTCTGAAGCATTATCGAGTGGAACATGGTACCTTTAGTCATGGATATTCAGTACCCTGTCTTCATTTAAACTGTCCTTGCTCCTTTAAGACCTGGGTTAGCTTGCGTGTACACTTGTTTAGATCCCACAGGTTGCAAGAAACTGAAGAGTGTGAAGTGGTGCAATCTTTCAAATGTAAAATTTGTGACTCATTTTATCCTAATACCAAAGACTATTTTCAACATATTAATTCCCACTTGAAAAGACTTGAAACAATAGAATGTGCTTTTGATGGATGTGATTTCAAGACAAACATATATGGGACTTATGCGACACACAGAAGTAGGAAACACAAGTCCTATTCATGGAAAGATTTTAAGGCTGATGTGATTGAAAAACATCCCTTTCGTAATGAGAATGATATCGACTTTCCAGTGTTGGAATTATATGGACATGTGGACATAGATACCACCTTAGAGTTGAAACTGGCAGAGGAGGTGATGAAGATTTATGTGAGCCGCAACCAAGATGGGTCAGTTGAGGAACCTACTGATGTAGAGATTGTGACTGAGGGCATCACTGTCCTCAGCAGCCTTGTAGATCTTAGCAGAGCCTGCTGCTATCTGTTGGGACTAACCTATGTCTTGGATCTGAGATACCCCAAGAATCTCAAATTCAGTTTTGAGGTATTCCAAAAAGTACTGCTGGAGCTTGATCCTGTAAACTTTTCAAACAAGGTTCAGAGACTGAAAAATTATCTGCGTATGTAGTTTTAGCAAGATGCTCTCCTTACTTGGGAATTGCCTTTTGGACTGTTGTTGTTTGCTGTTTACTTACTCTATATGAATGTAAAGTCTTCCTGTTCTGGGTTTGTTTCCGATACATGCATGGTGACTTAAAGGGTAATTAAGTAGTTATTTACAGTGGGGTTGTGTGATGTACTTGTGCATAGGAAGTGCATTCCATACAGTAGGCCGCTGTCTGGGGAACTGCCCGTTGGTCCGACAGCCCATTGTTCCGACCACATTAAACCCATTGTTCCGAAGTCCCGTTCTTCCGAAATCATCATGATGCCCTGTGGTTAAGGTCTGGTTAGGTTTAGGCACAAAAACCACATGGTTAGGGTTGGGAAAAGATCATGGTGTGGGTTAAAATGAAAAAGAAAGTGGCAAACACATAAGCCGTGAGCCTGCTTTACCTCAAGCCTTTCCCAGCTGACCCAGAGCCGGTCGCGGCGCACCATCAAAGTAGAAATACGCCCACCGGGAGCCGTTCAGCACTGCGGACCATCGGACTAATGGGATGTCGGACCAATGGGCTGTCGGACCAATGACATGGACCCGCTGTCAGCATGTTCCCATTTTGGAGAAGCAAAGGGGAGGTGGACCAGAAATGCTAGGCTATATACAGCTGTCCATTAGGTCGGTAGCTAAAATGCATTTTAGCCACATAAACAAAAGCCTTCTTACAAGAATCAGTTTTTGTTGAAGTGTACACTATAATAAGAATATGTTTAGCTCGTTACCTTGACACCAGACAGCATTTTTTTTTTAAAGCACCAGTTGAATTAATTAGTCCCAGCTACCAGAGTACATTGAGAAAAGGAGCAATCTTAACTTACTACCACATGAGTCATTGTGCTATTGCTGTTAAACACCGAAGTCACAAAATAAATGGACTCTGGTGGCAGGGACGAAGTGATTCATGTTTTTAAATTCAGGTTCCTGTCTGGCAGCAAGGTAACACAGCAAACATATTCTTAGTATATCATACACTTAAATTCTTTAAAGTGGGCCTTTTTTATTTGTCTAAAATCTGTTTTAGGCGCTGGCCCTACTACAAAGGAGTATATTGTCTGGCATCTCTGGTCTGGTCCTATTCCCGTCTGCTTCCTCAAACTGGGGATGTGCAGACTGCTGTCCACTGTATATAATATAGTTACTATTCATAAGCACCTGATATAGACACACTTAAATTCACCCATATTATGCATTCTTTTGTTGTTGATTTTGGAGACCAGACTTGGTTGGTCAGTAATATTAATTTTGTTGTAAAATGTTATGTCTTCATAAGGCAACATAGATGGCTTGTTGTTTTGTCTTATTTCATGGGTCACAACCATGATGATGACCCAGTTGCAGAAATAGTTAACATGTAATAGAAATGGCCAAACTTCTTGTTGATGGCCTTGTTTGCTATGTAGTTAATAGAGACATCAGTGTTAAACAGAAACTGTTTTAGAAATGGTTAAAAACTCACTGTAGAATATTTAAATTGATAGATGGGCATTATTGTTTGTGCATTTCACCCCTAGTTTAAGGGACCTCTTAAAATGTCCACTGTTTTTATAGCATTGACATTGTGACATGTCATTTGCAAAGTAGACCAAGTGGAATTTAGACTTAATGTCATGTTTTATACTGGTCAAAGTTGACAATAAATGTTAAATTTCAATTTTACTGTTCTCTTGTGCTTTGTTTTTTTCTTTGTTTATCATTTGTTTTTTATATATATGTTGACCACAAGTAAAGTATTCTAGAATAAATAGTAAATAAAATTAGAAAAAATAAATAAATGTAACTGATATATGACTTAAATTCAGTAAAAACATTCAGTAAATATAGCACAGTTGTTTTGTTAAATTGAGTGTTATTTTCTGTTACATCTGCCTAGCATTTCAGTTATATCTAGTCATCATGTTTAGTGTTTTTGACTTAGAGTTACTATTACATGGACTTAAGATTTTAATTATATCTACTCAATTTTATAAGTCATGGTACTAAATGTAGTTATACTGATCAACTTAAATTTTTCACTTGGATTTACTCAAGTCATAAAGTATATGTAAATGATTTCACAGCTTTTAAATTTACTCTATTTTTCAGTGTAAAAATGTTACACCAATATAATTGAGTACACACTAGTTAGAGTTTTTAGAGTGCATGTACTACAGGGGATGCAGGCACTAATGTTGACATATTTGGTTGTAAATTAGCCACTCCTTTAGCTTTTTTTAAAATGAGCTGTATGAGATGGACTCTCTTACGTTTTTTGGGATTGTATTCCACTCGTTACCTGCCCTATTGGTAAAAACTGATTGGCCAAATAAAGTTTTCCTGAATGGGATCTCACAAACTCCTCTAGCTGCCCCTCTGGTGACACTTGTTGCAGGTGATCTAAACTGTACAAGGCTGCAGAGTGGAGGTGGAGCTAGGCTGTGACGGATTTTGTACATTAGGCAACAGTTTTTGAAAATGACAAGATTGTTCCAGTTTAGAAGCCTATATTTATCAAGTATTGTGCAATGATGAAAGGATTGTGATTTTTTATCCAGAACTTTGAGAGCTTGTTTATATAAGGATATGACCGGATTTAGAGTAGTAGAGTTCACAGTGGCCCAGGTTGGTAAACAGTAATTAATATGAGATATTATATGTCACGAGAGGGACTCTGCGTCCTTGACCCTGCCTCTGTCCAATGCGCAGTAGTAGGTGGTAGTGAGTCTGAGTAGTAGTAAACTTGTGAGTTAGTATTTTTTCGGTTGTTAACAGTGCATTTCACCATTTGTGATTATGCCGAATTATTGTGTTTGTGCAGGTTGCACAAACTCGAGTCTGTCAGGACATCGAGTCCACCATTTTCCGGACAGAAAAAGGAGTGGAGTTAGTTTTCGTGCCTGGGTGCGTTTTGTGCAGGTGAAGAGGTGCGATTTCACGGCTTCATCTGTGACCAAAAACGCGGTCGTGTGCAGCGCTCATTTTGGACAGGAGGATTATGGGTGGCATGAGGGTTGATGGGTAGTGTGTGGCATGTTATGTCTGGTCTGGGGGTCAGATTCTCCACCAGAGCCCAGAAGGCATCCACCTCCCTGCAGCACATACTCTCCACAGCTGAGGACATGGGCTGGCAGTTCCCACAGTCTATCATACAAAAAATTGTCAGGAAATCTCTCTCTCTCTCTCTCTCTCTCTCTCTCTCTCTCTGTCTCGCCGTCATATGCATATGAATGTACATTTTCAACCTCTTCAGTCTCAAAACTAGTACTGGGATCCATGTTTATTAATGTTACACTCAATCGAACTCGGCTGGACTCCCTTACGCGTCACTTCCGGTTAGTGGGTTTTTAGATGTGGAAGCAAAATTCTCTCACAAAAACAACCCTAAAACTCACTGTAGTGTGTATATATGTTTTTGTTTTTTGTTTTAATCGAGTTTCTACATCATTTTCCTACACATTTATTCACCATGGTCACCATGGGCTTTAAGCTCCTGTTACTGGAGGGTTGAAGTACTTTGCTATGGGTCCAACAGCAGCTCTACACAACTGCTTCTAATAATCTGCCAGTTCTATCTTATCAGTTCATAAAGATCATATCTTCAAAAAAATCACAGGAAATCTGGGCATTTTTAACATGGACCCTATTTGGACCCTATTTTCTCAAATGGTTTACTTCTGACCAACTACCACAATATTAAAAACATGCCTTATTCAACTGAAATATCAGTGAAAGGTAACAGTACCTAAACAACTGCTTACTAGATTTTAAATACAGGTTTAGTGTGTCAGATCTAGTGGCATCTAACGGTTAGGGTTGCAAATTGAAACTTCTCCTGTATGCCAAGTGTGTAGGAGAACTATGGAGGCTGACGTGAAAAATGCAAAAAAAGCAAATGGCCCTATTAGTGCTCTTTGGTCTGTTCTGGGCTTTTAATTTTTTTGTGGTTCCCTTTGTATCAGTCTGTCACCTCTCTACATTCAGAGGTTTTGGCAGGTCTGTGATCACAGTGCAGGCAGAACTCTTCATGAGTTCTTGTTTCCTTTGTGGAGTTTGAGTTGCGGGATGGATAATTGATCAGTTGATCCGATCACAGCTGATCAGATCAGATTGATGGATGAGGTAAGCAGCTATTGCTGAGGCGAGTAAAAGCAAATTTTTAGAACCAGCGCAATGAATGATTAAGTTTCTGTGCTCCGAGAATGTGAATAACCAAACGGTAAATATATTACAACAGCACTCCTGATGGATGGACCAGCCCTAAAAATAGAAATTCATTTGTGGCACCAGACATTGATATTGTGGGGGGCTGCCATAAATAAATGGATGTGTGGGAAACCCTGGACTCTGTGGAAGAGGACCCACTCAGTATATATCAAGGCTCATTCAAACCAATTCTTACTTTCAGGTGATTCTAAGCTAATGAAAACATACTTATGAATATTATATTCTATTTCTACCAATATACCCTTCTACAAAGATCCTAACTAAACCAAGTTCCCAACCTGGATGTCAGAACCCCCAGATGGTTTGCAGTATAAATCTAAGGAGGTCATAAGATGATTGATAACATGGGAAATAAGAGAATTAACATACTGTGCTACACATTTTTTTCTGACTTCTCTCTAAATCTAATCGCTCAAAAAAAAAAAAAAAAAATACTGGTTAGTTCCTAATGCTTCTATAAACTATTCAAATTGCATAAAACTATCTCTGAAGAGAAAGTTCACTCTTTTGTTGAGCTGCTAACAACTCTGGCATGAAACCCCAGGCCCCAGGGTGGCAAATGGCCTTGTTTTAAAGTGTAGTAAGGCACCAAGGTTGATACTGCACTCGACATCCAAGAAATTCCACGTTTCAATCAAATTTAGATTGTTTTGAACCCAAGGTTATAACAACTACCATCACCAATAAACAATATTGCCGTTACATGACCCCACCCTGGTGATGATGTCATCACTTTCTTTTTTTGTTGTTGTTGTTGTTGAGCCAATTACTTGAAAAATAGTTGTGGCCTGTGTCCAATTAGCAGAACAATATCTGAATTGCCAATGACTCAAAGAGAAGAACTGAAAAATGTGCTAATTTGGCTCTGATGC